TTCCAACACAAAATCCAAAAACCCCAACCCACATGATCCTATGCTTTCTCGAAGTCCACCTTAAAAACGACGCCTTTTTTATGCAATCCTCTATACTCCTCAACTTCATTGGCCGCTAGGACCACATCTAGGATATGTCGTCCATGCACAAAGGCCCCCTGTGAGGGAGAAATAGTTTCCCCAAGGACAGCCCTAATTCTTTTGGAACCTGTCCCAAAATTTTGTAAATTGACGTAACCAAACTAATAGGCCTGAAATCTCCAATCTTGACTGACTTCTCTTTCTTGGGAATGAGACAAATGAAGGATGCATTGGTGCATAAGTTAACCTCCCCGCTCTCAAAAAACTCACCAGACACTTTCATAAGATCCCCTTTTACGATCTCCCAATAGTCTTGAAACACTGCCATTGAGAAACCATCCGGGCGTGGAGCCTTATCTCTCTCGCATTCAAGCACGGCCTATTGCACCTCACATTCTTCAAAGGGTCTCTTGAGCCAACTGGCTTTCAAGGAATCCACAGGAGCCCAAAAAAATACCTTCGATCACTGGACAGTCCAATCCACCATCAGAATAGAGATTCAAGTAAAAACTGAAAATCTCATTAATGATTTGCTCCTCCTTATTCAAAACCAATCCTTGCCCAATTTCCAAATTTTTAAATCCTTTTCCCTAAAGCAACCCTACGAAAAAATCTTGAATTTATGTCGCCCTTTTTTGCCCATTTCAACTTCTCTCTGTCTCCAAAAAATCTGCTCCTTGAAAACAAGCTCTTCAAACTTTAATTTGAGCAATGATCTCTCCCTTGAAGCCGTAGATAAACACTCCCCAGACTCCTTTGCACCCACCATATTTTCAATACCCCAAACTAACTCTGTTTTCAATTCATTTAGATCACCAAAAACTGTACGCTTCCAAACCTTTAAATTCTCCTTAACCCCTCTCAACTTTCGCATAAACTTGAAACCCTCCCACCCATTGACTCTTACTTTCCTTGAAATAAGCTTTAAAAGAGCGATTTTCCAGCCATGTGTTCAAATTTAAAGGGTATTGGACCCCATTTGAAGGGACAACTCTCAAAAATCACCAAGCAATGGTCCAAAACAACTCTTGGCACTACCTCTTGCCTTAAATCAAAAAACAACTCCTTCCAACCCAAAGTAGGAAGAAATCTATCCAACCTACAACAAGCATGATTCTCTTGAAGATTATACCAAGTAAATCGAGCATTACTCAAGGGCAGATCAATCAACTCACGCTCTCTTATAAAAGAATCAAAATCCCGCATACTTCTATCTGTGGAAACGCCATTAAGTTTTTCCAAAATCAGCCTAACCACATTGAAGTCCCCACCTATACACTAATTAGGAGAACAAAGCCCAAATAAACCAACCAACTCCTCCGACCATTCTTGACGCTTACAAGGCCTATTGGGAATAAACCCTTGTCAACCACCATTCATTGTTATCCCAATTCAGAAACCTAATGGACACTGAAAAAACCCCAAAGGTTGTCCCACATTCTGATACAACTCTCGCGTCCCACATAATCAACTTAGTACAAAGTTGAGGTTTAGATATATATCTTAACCAAGAAACACCTGACACATCCAACAATAAAAAAAGGCTTCAAAAATAAAGCGCATGGATTTATTTCTATAGCTAGGGACGCATGCTGAATTGTATATTTTATGTGTATATAGTCTTTATTTTTCCTTTTTTTTTCTTCTTTTAAATATGTAGTTACCAGGCAGAAGCATAAGGATTAGGTTGACTGCCTTTATAGTTTTTGTGCTTTGAATTTGGATTTGCTACTGGTATTCTAACTTCCTCTATTTTATATCAAATAAATATTTTTGTGATATGTAATTTTACTTTGGAATATTTATGTGCAATGTTTTCAGAGGAATTTGAAAGGAGATTCTGTCCATAAGAGGAAAGTTAGTGACTTATGTGTCTTAGTAACTTGATAGGAGCAATGTACTCAAAAACCTCATATGCAATGGTATGCTACTAGCCCATGTGTGACTTTGTGTGTTTACACCACGTATGATGAAATGTTCACCTAAAATAGTGATTGTCAAGGTATGGTGTTGGGTGTAAGGGTTCTTTATTTTCACAAGTTATTTCAAATTATTGCAATCAATAGAATTTATAAAAAGCATTTGGATTAATTTTTGGAAGTGTCATGGCCATGGGTAATTCATATTTATGAGGTCTTATCGTCTTCTTTATTTAGTTTCCATGACAATGAATTGAAGTTAGTTATTGAGTTTACAATTTGTGGTCTACCCTCGAACTAACACAGTCAAATTGCCTAAGTTTATAGGGGAAATTGCTGAGCAGTTTATTTCTAAAAAATAATTACAAATTAGTGGTACACTTTATTAATATTAATAATTAAAGTTATATGTTTTTCAATGAATCTATAATTATTTTTGTAAAAGTACGCTGAATGCTAATTTTCCCAAGTTCATATTTTACTGCCTTCATTCATAGGTAGGATAGAGTGATGGATGAAAATGTCATGTTCTTGGTTCTCTAAACTTGCAACTTGATCGTTTATGATTTGCTGTGTGCGCGCTATCCCCACTTTAAAGTCTATTACAACTCTCTTTTTTTTTTCTTTTTTTCTTTTCTTTTTTTTCCAGCATGAAGCTGAATTGCTTATTTTTCTATTACAAATTGCAGGTGGGATTTGGTCAACAACTTGGAAGCTTGATTATAGAATTCCTACCTTTTTATAATTTGGAAGTGATTGATATTTTGATTATAATGTGGTTATATGATGGATGGTTCTTATTAGGGTCAAATTGTGTTGAGAGTCGTTTGTTTTTGTAGGGTTAGACTATTTAGGGGTGTTAATGATTTGAAAGATTTCACAATTGTGTCATTTGGTTCTTGCTATGTATTAGTTGATAATCTCGATACATATAAATTGTCTTACCACTTCGTATCTTGATACAACAACGCTTCATATCCTACAACTAACTAAAAATTGAAATGCTTGAATAACATCGTGTTCACAATTTTTTTTTTACTCATCTAAGATTAATGAGTTTGATTTGGTGAATTTTTGTTACTAACTTGACTAATTTATACTGATTGTCGAATGACATTGTAGTATAGGGATGGGTCAATGGCACAGGATGTACTTGGTCAGGTTTGCGTCAAATTGTGTTAGCAGATGTGCATTGTTTGGTGTTTAATTTTAATTTTAGGATTGGTTTGGGATGTTCTAAAAAAGTGCACTTTTTGACTTATTGGCTTATATGGGTTGGGTTTGGGTTTGGGTTGGGTTTGATGTGATGTGTTAGAGAGGTGATGTGATTTAAATAAGATGATGTGACTTAAATAGGATAGTGACTTTTTGGCTTTTTGTATTATTTAGTGTACCCCAAACCAAGCCTTAATTTTAATTTTTTGAGATTGCAAAGCACAAACTGGTGTGCATTTTTTTGTGTTTAATTTTAATTCCAAAGCACTTACTGGTGTGCTTTATTTAGTACTTAGGCCTCGTTTGGGAACCCTCTCTTTTAACCAAAAAGTCAAAAAATTATTAAATTAGCCAAAAAGCCAACAACTCATACCAAAAAGTCAAAAATTCTCTTTTCTCTCTACTTTTTACACATCTTTTCGTAAAAAGCCAAAAAAGTCATCCCAAACTTACTAGTTTTTTTAAGCTCATATTTTAGCCAAATAGCCAAAAAGTTACTAAATTAACCTATTCCCAAACGAGGCCTTAGTACTTTTTTTATGGATTTCGAAGTGTTAACGGGTATACAATAAGCTTCACTGAAAGCATTGACAATGTTTTTTTTTTATTTGCACATTTTGTAACATAGAAGATCTATTTTATATTATATATACTAGAGATAACCTGTGCCTGAAGGCCGTCCCCAACAAAATTTCAAAATATATTTTAATTTTATCACACAACTGGTTAAAGTACAGCAAGTAACAGCTAAAAAAAATACGTTTCTAAACATTATATAGATAACTCAATCATAAACATTTTGTTTCTATTAGCAAACTTTAGACTCTACGTAAACACCAATGTGTAAGCTTCACATCAACACCAAAGTATAAACCTCAGATCAACACAAAGATAAATAAAAATTAAAAGCGCACCTGCCAAGCATGCCAAGAAAAAAATGTAAACACTAAACAAGACATAGAAACCAGATAAAAGAAAATGGTATTGTTTTCAACTCATACTACCATTACCCTTACTTTTGTCATAACGACTATATTTTGCAATGCTTCTATAAGATCTGTGTAGAGGGTCAGAAATTAAACTCTAAATTAAGTAAGGACCTAAATGCTGAGGTCGCCCCTCTGAGGCGACCATCAATGAAAAAGGAGCATGGGCTAAACCCCAAGGGAAGTGGGCCAACAGTGGACCGAAGCAGGTCCGACCCGCCAAGGGTCCAAACAGACTCCACGAAGGAAAATGCCTAAGTCAAGTTGCGAAGGCAACACTTGCAGCGGTCAAGTAGAGGAGGTTGCACTTGCGACGGTCAAGTTGCAGAGGCACTTTGCCTTAGCGCCGCTATTCACAATATTGTCGGTTCCGCCGCCATCTAAAGTTGCTGAAGGAAAGAGAAAGCCGAAGCAACTAAGTTGCAAAAGGCAACACTTGCAACGACCAAGTTGCGAAGGCACTTTGCCTCAGCGCCGCCATTCACAATATTGTCGGTTCCGCCGCCATATGAAGTTACTGAGGGAAAGAAAAAGCCGAAGCAACTAAATTGAGGCAACACTTGCGACAGCCAAGTTGCGGAGGCACTTTGCCTCAGCACCGCCATTCAAGTATTATCAGTACCGCTATCATTCCAAGTATTGTCGGTATTGTAGCTATCTGGAGTTGCTAAAGGAAAGAGAAAACCGAAGCAACTAAGTTGCGGAGGCTGCACTTGCAGCGCCCAAGTTGCGGGGGGATTTTTGTCGGTGCTGCCATCTCCAATATTGTCAGTTCTGCCATTTGAACTTGCTGGGGAAAATGACTACCACAGCAATTGCAGCCGTCACAACTAACTTGCGGAGGGAATATCCCGCCAAGGTGATAGCAGCCTTCAGGAGAAGCTTCCCCTCTGCAAGTAAAGGCTGATACTTGGCGCTGATAACAGGCCCCAAGGCGTTACTAGCCTAGGGCTGATAGTAGGCCCCAAAGTTCATTAACTTGACGCTGATAGTAGGCCCCAAGGCTTACTGGTTGGACTTGATAGCAGGCCCAGAGATACCAGTATACAGCGGCAACCCCACGAAGATGGGAGCAGGACAGCCTAAGCGCAAGGGACTCCCTTTCCATTTACCCAGGTTATGGACCTGCCTTGGTTGCACAGACAGAACCAAGGAAGCCCCCTTGGACTTGGTACTAAGGCACAACATGGCTGATAGCAGGCGTGGCTGTGGCCTTTACCATGGAAAGCTGGGAAGTTTGTGGTTAGGTGGCTAAGGGTGGAGGTTTCGCTGAGGTGAATAGAAACTGATAGCAGACTAATGGAGTCCTGAGAATACATGTACTGGCTGAATGAAACTAAGAAGGCAAGTGCAACAGCAAGGTTTATCGTTGCAAGTGCACTTGCTGAAGTTCAAACTGAGAAGGCAAGTGCAGCGGCAAACACTCCCGCCGCAACTGCACTCGCTGAGGCTCAAAAAGGAATTGCAGCGCCAAACACTTCCGTCGCAACTACACTTGCTGAGGTTCAAAAAGGTAGTTGCGGAGGCAAACAGATAGTACACAATACATGCAAAGGGGCATGTGGCACCTTCAACCTAGTGGCTCAAGGCAGAATATTCTGAGCGATCCTCTAGGTTACATGTCTTCTCTCTATTTGACCACTTGGTGTCCTCTTGGTACTAAGAAAAAGCCTATAAATATGACCCATTTCCCAAGGTTTAAGAGAGGGATTTTGGGGATTTGGGCGAGATGCTGCCCATTTGTGCATTGTCATACATTTCTTCTTGAGCTATTTGCTTCACCCTCACCCAGTTGCACACTCTTCAACTCCTAGACAGTTGATGTTGCTGCTTATTCTCCAACCACTCCCACCATTGTTGGAGCATTAACATAGTTTTGCCTCTCTAATCTCCTTCCTAACCTTGAACCCCCCTACAATCTGTCTTTAGGTACTGAAGAAAACTTATGAATAAATCATGCAACAAACAATATGGACAACTTGCTTGACCTATAACCAAAAAGAAACCTAATCTATACTTTAAATTAAGAACACGACCTCTAACCATCATCAAACTATCTAAATAGTAATCATCAATTATTAAATGTTTCATTATTTGTATTATCATAAATAGTTAAAAAAATTTCCTTCAGCCACATCAGGGCAGTGTTCCACAACCTAAAAACACAGAGCAGTCAACCCCATAGCCCCTACGAATCTCACATTAAAATACCTAAAGCTTCAGGCTCAAAAAACAATCCCAATGAAATAGAAAATCATAGATAAATTTGAATTAACCTTTACCCAACAAGTAATCTTAGGTTTGATTGAATCCACAACTTCCACCCATAGAGTAAAATCACCATTAAAAAAGATATTTTCGTGTAATCCAAACAAACCAAACAATTGCCAATGGAATAGCTTCCCCAGCCCTTCTTAAATGGTTATTTACAAAATGAGAAAGAGAGTCAAAGCCCTAATTCTTACATAAAAGAAAAAATTACAATTTCAGGGAAAACCAAACAAAAAAACAAAAAAACTTCAATACTAACTGCATAATTATCCTGGGATTTTCTGAGGTATATTCTGTCAAAAATTAATGTGTTAATATGAAACATAATTGGTCAAAATGCAATTATATATACTCGTGTAGATCCTAATAGAAGGGCTTATTGACCAATAGGTATTATGAGAATTAATGACATTTTTCATCAAACACTACTAAAAAAACGTCTCTAATTATTAATTTTCAATGACAGTTTAAAAATTTTGTCACAAAAAATATTAACAACAGTTTTTTTTTAAAAAAAAAGTCACTAACTTTGAACGACAGTTTGAAAAATTTGTAAAAACGTCACTAATTATAAGTTTTAGCGATAATTTATAAAACTGTGACAAAAAAGTCACTATTTGTCAAATTTTAACGACATATGCAAAAAAACGTTGCAAAAAAATTATTTTTAATAACGATTTTACTAACCCTTATTTTCAATAGTAATGGGAATTAAGTCTAATTAAGGTATATTGGTAGTTCACCTAAAAAAGAGAAAAAACTAACTTTGAGTAGATCTTATATACCTTGGAGACATGCGAGACCAAAATTATCGTCTTCTGATGCAGATACAAGTATCCAACTCCACTTTTCACTTTTTCCATCAAAACATTGCCAGGGGCCTTGGTATGACATACTTTTGATTCCTCCTAAAAAGAAGAACCATCCTATACCAATAATACAAGTTGTTCAATCCATCTTTACGAAAAGACTAAAAATTGTACGAAAACAAATACTACTTGTAATCAATTTCAAAATTCAAGTAACAAACAAAAAAAAAATACGAAAAATGAATAAAAGTAGGAAAATCAAATCAAATCAAACCTCCGAACAACCATAGCTAGGGTTTTCAAAAAGTCTCCATTGTAACCAGACAATGCTTGAAATGGAGCGATTGAGAAATATGTATTTGACCGAACCAATTAGGATTAGGGATTGATCGGTTGAGGGAGCATGAGATCTGTGAGTCGCGACACCTCAAATCAGATGATAGTCGATGTCAGATAGAAGCTGAAGAACTGAACACTCACCGCGACAAGAGCAGTAGGTGAATGAGAAATGGACTGGTAGATAGATATAGATATAGATATAGAAGCGAGAAGAGAATACGATGTGGAGAGAGGGGAGGCGGGGTTGCTTGCTGCTGCTGTGCTGCACTACAACACACTCGTTTTTCTTTGCTGCACTTCAATTCCAACACACTCTTCTGTTTCTAATTTCAATTTTTTTTCTCTCAAATCCTTTACTCTCTCTTTTGTTGTTTTTTCTCTTTTGTTGTTTAAAACCCTATAAAATATGTAATAAAAAGGGAAATTTACCAGTAAATCCCATTTTGTGTACTTGTAATTCATAAGGTCCTAAATATTTTCTTGGTGACTGGATGATCCTTTAATTTATTTGTTGACTGTTTTGCCACTGCTAGTATTTTTGGTTGATTAGTGTGGGTTTGTATAGGGAAGGTGAATGGGTGTTTGTGTGTCACGTTGATCGGAAAAGCACACACAAAAGTAGAACATGGTTTTGGTTGCGACGTGAACCCGCGAATTAAGACACAAATGGTTTCGGATTTCCGTTTCGGATTTCTCATAACCCGAATTTTGAAACCCACAAATGGTTCATTATACTGATCCTCTTTGAAATTTACTTTTTGTCCTCAAAGAGGTTTGTTCATAGGTTCCACAATCATAAGCTAACGTGAACTCCGAAACGAGTGAGTGGGTTCACGTTATAGTTCATTTCGTTTCTCGATCGAACTCGAACCGGTCACGATTGCTTCAGAAGAGGGCCTGTGACTCCTCACCAACAGCAACAGAGAACCCATGAAACAGAGTCGGTGAAGGAAAAGCAAGGTTTGGTTCCTAGAGTTTACTGTCCGAAGCCGATTCAGAGATTGCCTCCTCTTCCTCACAATCACCAAGTGAAAAACGGATCTATTGATCGAAAGGAGTTAGCGACGACGATCAATTTCGCGGCGGTGACATCGCCGCTGATTTCGTTCATGTCATTTTTTACGGGAGACACTGACAGCCTGCAGCATTCGATGTCGTCGGCGTTTCAGATTACGAACCCGTTATCGGCTGGTCGGTCGCCGCTTTCCAAGAGGAAGTGCAGTTCGATGGAGGGGTCCCAATCACTGCTGTTTTCGAATTCATATGATTCTGGAAACATTCGTGTGTGTACTACGCTTCGTGTGTGTGTATTCGATTTCAAGAAACTCTACTTTAGAAGGGCGTCACAGAAGTCGATTCCTCTATCTATCGTCCTATTTCCAGTTCGGTTCCCAAACAAATATAAAACCCTTGCAAACAAACACTCCTTTCCATACGTCTCACATTCTCTCTCTCTCTCACTCTCTATCTATCTATCTATATATATATATATAAATATATTTGTATCTGTCACCGTCTAGATGGAAGAAGACATACAACGGCATCTTTCACAAAAGTTAAAAAAGTCAAAAAGTCATCCCAAATAAGGCTGTTTAGCGCAGGCTAAATAGCCAAAAAACCAAAAAGCCAACCCATTTCCCAAACAAAGGGAGTGAAGCTTTCACATTTTGCTTTAGCTTCAACAGTTATTCTTTCGATAAATTTGCAGAAATTACCAATAAAGTCACCAAAGAGTGTATCAGAGACGACGACGATGCGAGACCTGTCTCGAACGAACTCGACGACGACGACGATGACGATGATGATTTCGAATTCTTTTTGGTACGTTGTAATTCTGATGTGACAGTGTGACATACCTTACCAGGGCCGACTATGTTCACGTCGTCAATAATTGATTACATATACCAAAATGAAAACATAGCAGTCCATAATTGATGTGAGGGCATATTTGTCCACCACATAACAATGTAATTCAAAAAATGAGTTATCAGTAAGATATCTCTACTATCATGGACTGCCCAAACAAATAAAATATTCGTAGGACCAAATGGAATACAATTTCGCCATATGGGACTTTCTGCTAAATTCCCCTAGTAAAAATGAGTGAAAAGTCCATTTGAGAAGGGGTTAAGTGAACCTTTTAATAGGTGAAAAAGGGTTAAGTGAACCTATTTATAGGTTCTAATAGTTGTATTTAATTTTTATCAAATTTTATTAAAAATATTTTTTAGTGAAATTATCATTAAAAATAATTTTTTGTAATAATTTTTTATACATGTCGCTAAAATTTAATAATTAGTGATTTTTTTTCATAATTTTATAAATTGTCTCTAAACCTTATAATTAGTGACTTTTTCTGTAACGAATTTTTCAAATTTTCATTGAAAATTGAAAATTAGTAACATTTTTTTGTAACGAATTTTTCAAACTTAAAGGGTTGTTTTGGGCATGAGAGAGAGGTCATGCATTTGGTAATGAACCTCCGAAGAAATTAACCATTAAGCACAAGGTCTCTTTCTCAAGCTTAAACAATACTCATTTTGAAGCAACTCTCAAAGCAATGAAAAATCCAAGAAAAGAGGGAGAGTGCAGAGGTGATTAGGGGTGAACACAAGTATGGAAAACACTAAATAAATGTTATCAACTTAAATATGTTGGTGTCTAATGCCTAAAACACCAAGCCTATGAGAACCATTACACTACAAGCCTACTATACAAAGCATAAATGAAATGCATGACCTAAAAAAGTCCTAAAACAACTCAAAACAGTTATGGAATTAAGGTAAAAATAGCTAAAAAAAGACAAGCTAAAATAATGGAGAATTTAAGCTAGTAAACAAGCACAATGAGGGGAGGCTAACTCCCCCATTTTTGGGACTTCAAAATAATAGTTTTAGCCTCTGAAAAACTTTGAAATTCAGTGGTAAAAAGTTCAAAAAAAGTTGATGAAAAGATGGGAAACACAAAGGCAAAAGCTTGGAAAACAAGGTTCAAATAAGGGTGGTCAACCCCTCTACCTTGGATAACTTTTAACTACAAGTTTTAGCCCATAAACATAGTTGAAAAATGATCCAAAAACAACAAGTAAAGATAGTAAAGAAATAAAAGAAAGAAGGTAGGAGTTATACCTCTTGAAGAGGAATAATTCTTTGAATTATAAACCACCAATTTCTCACCCTCAAGAGCCAATATTCAAGCTCAATAACCTCAACCAAGAATCCTCAAGAAGCTTGGTTTAAGGAGCCTAGGTAGGGTATGTATAGATGTGTATACGTTGCAAGGAAAAGAGAGATATTTTTTTCAAGAATTTAGCTTCACCAAAATTTTCTAACCTAATTTTATGAGAAAGGGTCAAGTATATATAGAAAATTATGTTAGGCTCTCTGAAATATCAGTATAGAAACAACTGGTGTAGTGCATGTGGAGACAGCTGGCAAAAATATCTGGTTTTACTGACACAAGTGGCCGGCCGGCTACTAAGGGGACGGTCGTACACTCACTTTTGGCTGGGCGACCGCCAAGTGGCCTATAGGCCTTTGGGTGGTTAGGCTTGATAAACTGTTGTTTTGGTCCAAAAATGGTGTAAGGTTGGTAGGCTTTTAAGGCTAAAAAACCGAGGCTTTCTGTTAAGGAAATCGAGGTTTGACAAGCGTATAAATTCATTATCGGGTGATCAATCGGTGGCGCTCAAGTCTTAAGGGCTGTCAAAAATGGGGTGTCTATAGTTGTCTCTCTTTGACAGAGCTTGAAGTCATGAAATGACGTGAGTAAATGTCAAAGCCTAGAGACGACCCATGTGGAAATGATCGTAAGACTTGGGCAAACAATCAAGATATAAAATTAAATTGATTGAACCCAAAGTTTGCCTATGTATCCCCTTGCAAGGAATCAAATCAGTGTAGTTCAGATGCCGAATGCGAAGTGATATGTATGATGCAATGCAACAACAAACGAGCATATTGCCCGGAAAATGAGATTCAATGCAATGCAATAAATGAAACCAAGAATAAGCGAGTAAATTACGCTTCAACGTATCAAAAACATTCCAGAACACATTTCCGTACAGAAAGGTTAACAAGAGATGAGCCAAACTATACTTTCGCGTAGAGAGGTGAGAAACAACAAACCGAACTACACTACCGCTTAGAGTGGTTAACAAGAAACAATCCTAACTACACTTCCACGTAGAAAGGAACAAGACAACCCCAACTACACTACCACATAGAGGAGTACAAGAACGATCCAAGCTACACTTCTGCGTGGCGAACAAGAGCAACCAAACTACACTACTGTGTAGCACGATGATCCTAACTACACTTCCGTGTGGAGAGGAGAACGACAACAACCCAAACTACACTACTGCATAGTAAGGTACAAGAACGAACTAAGCTACACTTCCGCGCAGCGAGGAACAAAACAACCAAGCTACACTTTAGTATAATGAGGTGATCCTAACTACACTTCCGCGTAGAGAGGATAAAAAAAACAAACCAAGCTACACTACTGCGTGGCGAGGAACAAGAACACCCAAGCTATACTACCGCGTAGCAAGGTGATCCTAACTACACTTCTGTGTAGAGAGGATAATAGCAAACCAAGTCACCCTATCATGTAGCGAGGAACAAGAACACCCAAGCTACACTTTTGCGTAGCGAGGTGATCCTAACTACACTTCTGCGTAGAGAGGATAATAGCAAACCAAGCCACCCTACCGCATGGCGAGCTTAAAGGGAGGGAACCCAAATCATACTCACATGACAAGGGTGGGCACTAGAATTAAAAAGCACAACGCACATAAATACGACACAATGCGACGTAATTGACATTCAGTATGATGACAACGCATGTTCTATGCAACATAATAGATAACCGACATAAGATGTAATGCATGCTCTATGCAAACAGGATAAGCATATGAGTTACGATGCAATGCGCACATGCAATGTAAGAGGTATATGAGACTACATATTCTATGCAAAAGATATGTTAATCGAAAAGACGGACAAAAGCGATGTTCGCCAACGACCTTCAACTTACCACTCGGAGGTTCTACAAAATGCTCAAAAAGGATACAACTTGCCCACATTTGAAATCGGGGCACATTCATGCACCGGAGATGCAATGGGTTTCGGAACGATGCAATCGGAACACAAGTTCGAGATCTTCGAAAACCAAATCCACTTCAAGTACCTCAATCCTTCTCCTCAGACCCAAAAAAGGACCTCCCAAACACTATTTGAGCAAAAGGATAGCAAGAACCAGCCCTGGGCCACAAATGGGGCCAGCCAGCCACAAATGAGTGTACCACCGGCCACTTAGTGTACGGCTAGCCACCTGTGTGGATTTTAGGAGTGCTTTGGTCATTTCGGCTCGGGTCTATTTAAACACATGACCAAACTTCATTTCCTCACACATCCAAGCCTGAAATCACTCCCTCTCTCTCTCTAGGTATTTCTTCTCTCCAGATTTGTGCTTTATACACGTTTTCCAATGCCCCACGCAAACTTTATTCGTAAAACATCTTTAGCCCTCTACACTTTGAACCGATCATAATTTGTTTTCGTTGATTTTTTTGAGTTTTCATCACTTTGGGCTCATTCCCCTTGGGTTTTTCTTGGGTTTTGCAAACTTTCCCAGGTTTTGACTTTTTCTTTCGTTTTCTCTCTTTTAGGGTTGATTTTTTCAAGTTTTTTCCTTTTTTCCCCCCTCATTTTTACCACTTTTCACCCACTTTCCATATGGCAGATGATGTCTCACATGAAGGTGGCCCTCCCGAGGTACCTGTCCTTCTACATATAGCCGAGGTAGATGAGCCAGCAGTTGCCGAGGTCGACGAGGCGACAGAGGATATCGCTGTTGATTTTGAGGCTGAGCCAGAGGCAGTCTTTCCACCAGGCCTCGAGCCTGAGCTGTTGCCACTGAGGCTGAGGCCGTTTGATTTGGCCACTTACCACCCACAGACGCACGCGATTGCCTTTAGCGACATGTTGCGATTTGATGATTTTGTCGGTGGCGTGCCGGAGGATGTTTTACTAAGGAAGTGGCCCTCCCACCTTTCTCACGGCCTTCTGAGGTACAAACTTTGTTTTCATGAACTCTAATTTGTTTAGCCATTTCATTATTGCCTTTCAATACTGCCTTTCATCTAACTCACTATTTCCTTGTCATAGGAGTACTCTCACCCCTAGCAAGGTTACGGGACTGTGACGGTCAAAGAGTGGTATCACGAGCTTCCCCGCTTAGGTCTGCGATCTTGTCGTATGGCTTTGACCTATTCTGTACCGGGATCTCACACCATATAGCCAACCAGGCCTTACTCGAAGCATTGATGGAGAGATGGTGGGACACCACAAATTCCTTCCACTTCTCTTCCACCGGGGAGATAACGATTCTATGATTTCTCGATGATCACCGGCTTGGGCGTAGAGGGTGATCTGATCCCCTTTGATATGGATATGAGACAGTGAGAGGCGGCCTGGATTTACCTACTTAGAGCGAGCCCACTTCTATACAGGCCAACTATGGTCAGATATAGCTGGTTTCTCGAGCATTTCTGCGGAAGTCAGCCCAATACTCAGGAAGAGGTAGAGTAGTACACCCGGGGCTTCTTGATATACCTTCTCGATACCACCTTGTTTGCGAACAAGTGGAATACCATGGGCTTTTATCTGTTGAGCGCCCTTGTGACCTTGTCCTGGGTTCGGTTTTATGACTAGGGTGGAGCTGACCTTGCCACCCTCTGCGGCTATATGAGCTCCGGTTTCCGCATGAAAGGAAACTAGATCGGAGGCTATTGGAGAGCCTAGGAGGTACATATCGCACTTTCAGTTTTTATTTCCTTCTTATGCTTT